ACCCGCCACAACACAAAATCACCCACATTTGGCTGGTGGCGGGTGCTAATTTCCATCCCTGGTACACACATAAGAACACGCATACGAACAAGCACACACATATGAACACACATACGAACATGTACACACATAAGAACACACATACGAACAAGCACACACATATGAACACACATACGAACACGTACACACATAAGAACACACATACGAACAAGCACACACATATGAACACACGTACGAACACGTACACACATAAGAACACACATACGAACAAGCACACACATATGAACACACATACGAACACGCACACACATATGAACACACATACGAACACGTACACACATATGAACACGCATACGAACACGTACACACATAAGAACACACATACGAACACGTACACACATATGAACACGCATACGAACACGTACACACATAAGAACACACATACGAACACGTACACACATATGAACACACATACGAACACGTACACACATATGAACACACATACGAACACATACACACATATGAACACACATACGAACACGTACACACATAAGAACACGCATACGAACAAGCACACACATATGAACACGCATACGAACACGTACACACATATGAACACACATACGAACACGTACACACATAAGAACACGCATACGAACAAGCACACACATATGAACACGCATACGAACACGTACACACATAAGAACACACATACGAACACGTACACACATATGAACACACATACGAACACGTACACACATATGAACACGCATACGAACAAGCACACACATATGAACACACATACGAACACGTACACACATAAGAACACACATACGAACAAGCACACACATATGAACACACATACGAACACGTACACACATAAGAACACACATACGAACAAGCACACACATATGAACACACATACGAACACGTACACACATATGATCACGCATACGAACACGTACACACATAAGAACACACATACGAACAAGCACACACATATGAAAACACATACGAACACGTACACACATAAGAACACGCATACGAACAAGCACACACATATGAACACACATACGAACACGTACACACATAAGAACACACATACGAACAAGCACACACATATGAACACACATACGAACACGTACACACATATGATCACGCATACGAACACGTACACACATATGAACACACATACGAACAAGCACACACATATGAACACACATACGAACACGTACACACATATGATCACGCATACGAACACGTACACACATATGAACACGCATACGAACACGTACACACATAAGAACACGCATACGAACAAGCACACACATATGAACACACATACGAACACGTACACACATAAGAACACACATACGAACAAGCACACACATATGAACACACATACGAACACGTACACACATATGAACACACATACGAACACGTACACACATATGAAGACACATACGAACACGTACACACATACGAACACGTACACACATATGAAGACACATACGAACACGTACACACATATGAACACACATACGAACACGTACACACATATGATCACGCATACGAACACGTACACACATATGAACACACATACGAACACGTACACACATATGAAAACACACACGAACACGTACACACATAAGAACACGCATACGAACAAGCACACACATATGAACACACATACGAACACGTACACACATAAGAACACACATACGAACAAGCACACACATATGAACACACATACGAACACGTACACACATAAGAACACACATACGAACAAGCACACACATATGAACACACATACGAACACGTACACACATATGAACACACATACGAACACGTACACACATATGAAGACACATACGAACACGTACACACATACGAACACGTACACACATATGAAGACACATACGAACACGTACACACATATGAACACACATACGAACACGTACACACATATGATCACGCATACGAACACGTACACACATATGAACACACATACGAACACGTACACACATATGAAAACACATACGAACACGTACACACATAAGAACACGCATACGAACAAGCACACACATATGAACACACATACGAACACGTACACACATAAGAACACACATACGAACAAGCACACACATATGAACACACATACGAACACGTACACACATAAGAACACACATACGAACAAGCACACACATATGAACACACATACGAACACGTACACACATATGAACACACATACGAACACGTACACACATATGAAGACACATACGAACACGTACACACATACGAACACGTACACACATATGAAGACACATACGAACACGTACACACATATGAACACACATACGAACACGTACACACATATGATCACGCATACGAACACGTACACACATATGAAAACACATACGAACACGTACACACATAAGAACACGCATACGAACACGTACACACATATGAACACACATACGAACACGTACACACATATGATCACGCATACGAACACGTACACACATATGAAAACACATACGAACACGTACACACATAAGAACACGCATACGAACACGCACACACATATGAACACACATACGAACACGTACACACATATGAACACACATACGAACACGTACACACATATGAAGACACATACGAACACGTACACACATATGAACACACATACGAACACGTACACACATATGAACACACATACGAACACGTACACACATACGAACACGTACACACATATGAAGACACATACGAACACGTACACACATATGAACACACATACGAACACGTACACACATATGAAGACACATACGAACACGTACACACATATGAACATGCATACGAACACGTACACACATATGAACACGCATACGAACACACACACACAGATGAACACGCATACGAACACGCACACACATATGAATACGCATACGAACACACACACACAGATGAACACGCATACAAACACGCATACGAACAGATGATCAGATGATCAAAACTACAAAAAGTCCCATAGTAGAATAAGACTTATAATGTATTTAAGCTGTCTATCACTAGCAAAGCTGAACGAATACCCTATGGAAACATGCTAAAACATGCTAATCATGCTTGCAAAATGCTAATTCAGGCTATAAACGTGCTAATTCGGCTGGCAATAGGCTAGCAATGTGCTAAATCATGCTAGCAATGTGTTAAATATGTTGATAGCAACGATAGCAACTAATTAATTGCAATGTGTTAAAACATGCTAAAATGGGCCAATTCAAGCTAACAACAAATTAAATCATGTTAACAACATGTTAAATCATGCTGACAACATATTAACAACATGTTAAATCATGCTGACAACATGCTAATCATGATAGCAAACATGTTAAATAATGTAAGAAACATGATAGCAACGTGCTAATTCATAGTATCAATCTGTTAAAAATGCTATAAATGTGCCAATTTAAGCGCAACATATTAAATCATGTTAGCAACATATTAGCAATATGGTAATCATGTTAATGACATTTTAAAACATGTTAGCAACATACTAATCATGCTAATAACATGCTAATCATGCAAGTAACATGTTAAATTATGTTAGAAACATGTTAGCAAAGTGTTAATTCATTCTAGAAATGTGCCAATTCAAGCTAGCAACATATTAAATTATGTTAGCAACATGCTAATCATGTTAACAACATGTTAAAACATGCTAATCTTTTTTTTTTTTGTACTTTCTCTGAATAAAACCTTCAAAGGTATTTTAAACATTCAGACCTGGTTTTGCCAAGCCAACATCGATGTTTGTCATCAAACTTTACTCATCTAGTTTTATTTATTTTTAAAATACTTTTAAAAGTCATCTAAAAATCTAGTTATGTTTCTCCAGATCATCATATGTGGAATATTTCTCACATTAAACCAGTAAATCACAATTATGAGGATGGTGTTTGTGATGCTACACCAATAAACCCAGATTTATTTTCTCATAGCCACAGAACTATATTTCTACAAATAAAAATGCAGATACAGTTTCATGGTTGGTAATAAATATTTTTGACTGGTAACTTTCAATAATTGAGCTGTTGATTGTATTGTTTAGCAAAATATTTACAATCGTTGGACTTTTGTTGTTGCAGATGTAAAAACCTGAAGCATGTTTTTTGTCTTATATCGTACATTTGACTGATCTTAAATAGCTCTCATATAAAAATATGAGTCTTTTAAAGTGAAAAAAGTACTGTCACCTTTATTTACACAGCGCTTTATACAGTATTGTTTCAAAGCAGATTTTTTACTGCAAATAAGTGGCGATTCTTCTCAGTACAATATATATATATATATATATATATATATATATATATATATATATATACATATATATGCCATATATATATATATATATATATATATATATATATGCCATATATATATATATATGTTCTTCCTCAGTGTTTCTGTCTTGTTTTCCAACACAAACATCTAAACATCCTTAAACCAAGACACATTTACTGGAGAAGAAGCAAAATGGCTGAAGATATTAAGTTAAAAATGCATCAAAATGAAGCGAGTTTGTGCTGAAAATAAGAACAAATATTTGTCAATGGATTCAGAAAAATAATCTTTGAATTTAGATCAGTTTTCCGACCTCATGACAGATATTTCTTCTGATTTTCAGCACAAACTCACTTCATTTTGATGCATTTTTAACTTAATATCTTCAGCCATTTTGCTTCTTCTCCAGTGAATGTGTTTTGATTTAAGAATCTTGATATTTTGCTGGAAAACGAGAAACACTTGAGGAAGAACATCGCTTTTTTGCAGCGTATAATCAGTCTCAGAAATGAAACGTTGTTTGACTGCAAAGTTGCACTTGTTTACGAGAACCGAAGTCCGTACAGTAGATTCACGTTCATGAATAATGGACCAGGAAAGCTTCCAATTATGAGCGTGGCTTCCATATTCTTTTATGAAGTGCATCTGACAGTTATATCATGGCAGCGTGTTATAAAAGCCTGCGGTTTGAGATGGAGAGGATCCATCGATTGTGTTTCGCTGAATGCATAATTGCAGACGAGGGAATTGGGTTTGTGTGCTGGTTTTAATACGTCTCATTCTAAGCTGAATCCTTCCTTGGTAAAAGCAGCTTTCATCTGAAAACTGATTCCAGCGCAGTATCCGAGTCGGATCCGAAACGGACACTTCATCTCACGCCTGCAAGGGTGAGGGTTTCAGCATCCGCTCCTGATAGGTGCGATCATCCATCAAGTGTGTGTGTTTGAGCGCAGCGGGGGGGGGAAAGATGAAACCTGCTCTCCTTTTTCTGACCACAGGCTGTTTTTACATGGACACTGTGAGGATAAAATTAATGATTTAGTTGGCTTTTTCACCCTTAAACCATCTGAGTTTCTTCCATCACTGCTGTTTACTCACAGTATATATTTACAGTAACACTGTAAATTACTGTGATTTTACTCAGTTTTTCTGTACATTCCTGGAAACGTCCACATGATGTTTCCCCCGTTTTGTTGTTGCCATCCGAGGCTCCGCCCTCATCTGGAAAAGGGGGCGGAACCAGGAACTCATTTGTATTTAAAGATACACACACGAAAACGACGTGTTTTTTACTGTAAACATAAGTTAAATCCGTAAAACTTAAAACATTGCTACACTATTTTTTAAGGTAAAATTCTGGAAAGCACTTGTTTTTTACAGTGCAGTGTTTAGTGACTTTAAGTTAATGAGTGAGGTTATTTTAGATAGACACATGGCGATGACACATGGTTGCCTTTTTTTACCATCTGAGTTTCATAGTCTCATCTATGATTTCATCAAACAGCCGCTGAATCTTCCATCAGTGATGTTTGCTCATAGATCAACACTGTATTATTAATCGTTTTTTCTGTAGATTTCTGGAAACGGCCCCTGATGTTTCCCCGGTTTTGTTGTTGCCATTCGAGGCTCCGCCCTCTTCTGGAAAAGGGGGCGGGACCAGCAGCTCATTTGCATTTAAAGATACACACACACACGAAAACAGTGTTTTTAACTGTAAACATAAGTTCAATCCGCAAAACCTAAAACATTGCTACACTATTTTTCTATGGTAAAATTCTGGAAAGCACAGCTGACGATTTTTGTACCATAAATTGCACCGATTTTTTAAAATTATTTTTTAAGTGACTTTAAGATAATGAGTAAATGTTTTCTGCTGATGTGCATCTTCTGTAGTGTGTAGTTTATTTATTCATAAACATGAATTGGGCCCTGGGAGCAAACCGGGATAAATATGTAAATTTGTGCACTGGCTTAAGAATATGATGAATTTCAAACAAACTATCATCAACCTTTTGCTACAGTGTGGCTGTTTTGATGCCATGCAATGCAAAGCAGATTTGAGTGTTTTTATTCGCCCGGTTTGGTGGTCATGTACTGGATGTGATTGCGTTGTTGTGTTAAGTAGCTCAAAGGTTTTGAGTTGGTGATATTATGGTGAAGTTTATGAAAGGAGTCTCTTTTGCTCACCAAGGCTGCATTTATATGATCAAAAATACTGTAAAAATAGTGAAATATTATTCCAATGTAAATCAGCAGTTTTCTATGTGAATATACAGTAAAGTGTAATTTATTCCTGTGATCAAAGCTGTATTTTCAGCATCATTACTCCAGTCTTCAGTGTCACATGATCCTTCAGAAATCACTCTAATATGAGGATCTGATGCTCAAGAAACATTTATGATTATTATCAGTGGTGAAAAGTTCAGATTCCTGTGGGAAACGTGATACATTTTAATTTTCAGGATTCTTTGATGAATAGAAAGTTCAAAAGAACAGCATTAGTAGTAATAGAATCTTGTGTAACATTATACATTTCCTTTTTGACACTTTTGATCAATTTAATGTGTCCTTGATGAATACAAGTATTAATTTCTACGTAATATAAGTATATGGAGGACCAAAACTTTTAGTTTAATCCATGTTAAAGGTATAAAAACCTCCCAGATGATGTGAAAGAAGCCGCACAAGGCTTTAATACGCATGTGGAGGGAAAGAATCGAGCGTTTCTCTTCACTCTATCTCTCCGTTAGATGCCATCACAACAGTGACAGCGCTGACTGTGAGTTTAATCAAACGAACAGCGATCTCCTGCTGTAATCTATAGGCGTCATTATAGAAAAAACACCCATCAGGCCTATCAAGCTGTCGGTTACAGCGCTGGAATTAAATTCACCCCGACCGGCCGACACTAATCAGGGTCCTGACTGGATTACACGCGACACCGGAGACCCGGCTGACATTTGTGCGCCTGTTTTCTGTGTAAAAATAGTTGGAAAAATCAGCTAGCTTCCATTATAGGTTGAAAAAAAAGCCCAAATATTAAATGCCATGGATGAATATTTATGGAGTAATCCACTATTTTTTGTAGAGGGGGTCAAAATGAACATTTTCATTTAGAGCCAAATTACAGGAGGGATTGTTGCATTATATGCCAATTGTGACAGTTCAAAAATGTGAAAAAGCACCTTTTTTTAAAGTTTGCATGGCTGTAACTTAAGAAGGATTAATAATATCTCAACATCCTTTTAGATTTTGGTTCTTAACAAACATTTCTCTTGGTATCCCCAATTTTAATGCCCAATATGGTTCAATCCCAGAGATATGAGGATCTCAATGCGGCTCCATGAGTAAATTGTTCACATTTTCAGTGGTCAAAAACCAAACGTGGGTCACTTTCCGACCACTGCTACTTTTTGTCTTTTAAAGAGGAAAGTCTAAAGAACAAATAATGTCCAAACTAGAAATATATCTTGTTTCCCTCTAGAACGTTCCTGTCTAAGGTGACAAATATATTCGTTTTCCAAAGTTTCCACGCCTGTAACTCAAGAAGAATTAAAGATATCTTAATATCCTTTTAGATTCTGGTTCTCAACAAACTGTTCTCTTGGCATCGCTATTTTTAAGGCCCTATATGATTCAATCCCAGAGATATGAGGATCTCAATCTGACTCCATGAGCAAATTGTTGAATTTTACCCATTTTCAGTGGCCAAAAACCAAATATGGGTGACTGCAAACAGCTGATCCTTTTTTATTTTAAAGAGGAATAACTGAAGAACAAATAATGTTTAAATGCATCTCGTTCTCCTTCTTCTACCTGAGAGCCAAACATGTTCTTTTCCCAAAGTTTGCATGGCTATAACTCATGAAGTATTAAAGATATCTTAATATCCTTTTAGATTCTGTTTTTCAACAAACTTTTCTCCATTTTTAAGGCCTAATATGATTCAATCCCAGAGATATGAGGGTCTAAATGTGGCTCTGTGAGTAAATTGTTGAGTTTTACCCATTTTCAGTGGTCAAAAACCACATTTGGCTGACTTTGAATACAGCTGCTAATTATATATTTAAACACGAATGTCTCTATTATTAATTATGCACAATAGCAATACTGGAAAAACTATTTTAAACAGTAAATTTTAGACCTCAAAACAGTCGCAGTGAAGAAGATATAACTCTCAAATCTAGTTGCATAATTCAAACAAACCTTCATTCCAACTGAAACAAAAATGGCAGACACGCTGTGAATTGGTGGCACATCGGTGTAATGAATCAGTGTATTTATTTAAAACAATCTGCTCTGCCAAAACGCCCCGACTCAATCGCTTCATTGTGTGCGTGTAGCCGTCTCCGTGGAGGTAATTGCTCCGACCTGCGTTGCGATAATGGATCCTGGATGAAGTATTGACCGCCTCTAGATTTTGATTAAGGGCCTGCGGTGCAGAACATGTCTTAATGAAAGTGAGGAATCAGCATTCAAGGTGGCGGCGTCCACTCGCTGATTACGATTGGGCCTTCGGCGAGCGAGAGGACACACTAAAATCTGCTCTGTATTTCTTAATGGTATAAGTCGAGGATGTTATTAGTGTCGTTACGGGACGAAAAGGTCAGCTGTAATCAGTTTGGATTCAGATCCATGATAGCTGGTCAAACTCGCTGGAGTTCATGATGAAAATATTGCACTTCACACTAAGGAACTCAGCCGGTTATGCAAATGCATGTCTTTAAAGTATTAATAGCAAGAATTAGCAAGTAAAATGATGTACTATAAGTGTCATTTGGATTTCACGCACGAGAACGTTTCCGTGAGAAACCAGTAAATCTGTCCAATTCTGCGCTGTGTTAAACACCCATCTCACAGAAGAATCACGCGTACAATCTCTTTATTATCTTAATCATTTCTCCTAGACAGATATGGGGGAAGCTCGGCTCCTCTACAGATGTCAGCGGCGTTTCTCATCAGACTCTCCTCATGCTCCTCGTCTGCCATGATCTCCACACGAGTGCCGCAGATCTACTCTCTATTGTTTGACTATTGACTCATCTGTGTCTTTTGTCCTCTCTAGGGGTTTCAGGAGAACCATGAAGCATATCTCTAAATCAAAAATTCCTCTCAGATATTTCCAGTAACCTTCCTCTCTCTCTGTACATATATATCTGTCTATATGACTGAGGTGCCCTTGAGAAAATTCATTCATGATATTTTAAAGGGGAACTTTGCAATTATTTCAACTTAATAAAACCGTGTAGAAATGATTTGGATGGTTAAATAACCTGTTCCGGTGAGAATGGAGCCAGGCGGAAAACCAACATGGGGACTAATGTACCGGTCATTTGGAAATAGGAAGCGAGAACGAGCGAGAAACACTAACTGCTTTACGGCAATTCGACATAAACACACACGTGACACGCCTCCCTCAATACCGGTTAGTATTACCAGAGCCCGTCTACAGCCTGGCCACTCCCTATTAAGTCCTATTGTACCGAATTGTGGTTGTAGTTCCTCCAGAGTTCCACTGGGGGCGATCGCCGAGTGCGTGAGTGAATGCGAGTCTATGGAGCTAGACGGCTAAATGTGTCTCTCTCACCCGATTGCCGTTGAGAAATCTCAGATTTGATTGTAGGTTTTGCAAGTTCAACATGGGTTATAGGTCGAAAGTTGAATGAACGAGTGCTTATGTCCTTTTGATTTCTTCCAGGTTGAGTTGTTGTTGCCCATAAGACGCTAGCATTCTGCTAATGAACGCTGGTT